CAGATCCTGCCTGGGAGCTGTAGCACAGCTGCATGGGTGTTTACAGGCGAAGGGTGAAAGGAGAGCTCTGCCAGCCTCATGGTCTGACTCGTAGAAGACGCAAAGAAAGTTCCCCCGGAGCGCCCCCGTTGCTCCTGGTCCCTTCAGCTGGCATAGATGGAGGGAGAGAGTCAACCAGTTCCCATAGCTCCATCCAGCTTTAGCTGTGCCTGCTGAAACGATCTCCCGTGGGAGCACATCTGTGTGTTGGGGCAACCTTGAAAATCGTCCTGGAGTCCCATCTCCACAGTAGCTGCATGTTGAACATCCACTGCTTCCTAGTTTCATGCCAAAGCTGCTTCTCTTTACTTGAGAATAAAATATGATTGCAATCAGGAGAGACAAAGCTTCAGATGACTTGGCATTTTTCTTCCTTGAGTGACTGCATTTCTCCAGGTGATGTCTTTCCTTTTAAGGAAATTCATCACAACAGCAATTTGTGGGATATAGGGTCTGTGCTCTTCGCATCAAAACAGGAGGCGTTTTCACTGAACTGCTACCTGATCATACCACTGGAGTCACCTGCTCTTCATTCTGCAGCCATCTCTGGTTTGCATCTTGGCAACCTCACCTTTCCTCTGGGGCAGGATCTGTGATTCCTGAAGGTACAGCAGGTGACCCATGCTTCACATCATGCTCTCTCCATGGGAAAAAAATGTCTTATGAGCAATGGGTGGTGAAATTTAGTGCTAGTAACTATCCAAATGCTGAAAGGATCTTCAGGTTGAAGGGAAGCTTGTGGAATGCCAAAAAATGCCTTACCTCTGCAGTGAGTGAGGGAAGACTCTCAACTCTCTGTCCTCCTCTTGGTTATGAACACAGGTAACTCTTCCTTGATGGACACACTCTTAAGTTCCCTTTACAAACTACAGGAACTGAAAAGACACAGAACAATGAGAGTTTTGGGTGCTAAATGTTAGAACATAATCACAGAAAAAAAAAAAAAAAGAAGGAAAAGTCAAAGCAGCCCCTCTGGAAAGAAGAAAAAAAACCAAATAAAAGATAATAAGAGACTATAATAAATTCTGACCAAAAGACAAAAAAAAAAAATCCCTTCCTAAAACACATGCAACACAAGAGATGAAGAAAAAGGCAGCTTGATTCTATTAACCAAGTATTAACACCCCTGGCTAAAGAAACCCTGCAAAAAGGAAGGATTAACATTTTCAATAAAGGGGACCAGATATTGCAGTGCTTATCATCAGCACTCTCCACTGACAGAAGAATAGAAAATGTTCTTAATAGTGTGAAAGAGAACAGGAGGTACACAGGCAAAGAATCAGAGGTTGCTGCTTGTAAACAGAGCAAAGAAAGACATCACAAATAGGGGAAGTCTCTGCAAGAAATAGTAACTGTGCAAATTGTCCCAGCATCTCTGTGTCTGGCTGAGCTGCAGTTCTGCCGTGGGTGTCATGGAGAGGGCTTTAGCACTTAACATCGAGGCCATGTTTTGCATTGCGATTTTCTAGTCACCATTTTTTTGAAAAACAGACCCCAAATGTCGTATACATGGCATAATCTTGCAGAAAACATACTCATTTATTGAGTAGCTCTGAAGTGTAATGCCTTGTGTTCTTGTGCTGCCTGTCATTACAGTAGCAGCCTGCCTGTTACGTTAAGGTGCACGTGGAAGGATGGGGAATTGTGTGATTTAATGTAAACAGTCACAGTCTCTTCACAACTGAGTCTGCTTGAAGTAGCTGTTCAGCATTGGCCTCTAGAAGCTCAGCAGGACTGGGCCATTCCCATCCCTACAGAGTGGGTTGCAAACTATTACAGGTAAGGAAATTCTGGGCAGGGATCTTAACAGAGAAGGAAGCCTGAGGGTGGCAAGGAGGGTAGATGAAGGCTTTAAGCTTCTTTCTGCTGCCACCCTTGTTAGCAGTGCATTTCTCTGTGATAGTCAGTGGTACCCTGACACTTTGGATATCTGGAGTTATGGGTGCATGTGCACTTTGTGCTGCTTGGGTGCTGTAGAGCTGATGTGGCTGTATGTGTGCATTAAGTTCAGAATCATACAGCGTGTGATCAAACCTATTTCTTCTTCCAAAAGCCTCCTCAGAGAAATGTAGTTCTTATACATGCCATGAAGATAAAACTTGGGTTCAGATAAAATGCATAATTTCTGGCTGCCACAAAATTGGAGCTATAGGTTATTTTTGACTTCTTTCATGAGATGATAAAATAACTGGGAATGGGGTTTGGCTCTTTCCTTGTCTTCATGCAATGCTCCAGTACATCTGAGGCCTGTGAGTGCTACTATTATATGACATGATTGAATAAAACCCGGAATCCTCTTACTCCCTTCTCTAAAATGTCTGCAAAGCCAATTAATAATCACAATCACAGGTAGCATTTTGTCCATTTTTGAGTGACATTTCTTTGGAGAGAAGAACTGTCCCCATTGGAGAACAATGCAGATACATACAGTATGAGATTCCCCCACATTTACAGAATCAAGGAGAAAAACTGTCCTCTCTTGAGACTTCCAGGGCATTTAAGCAGGCAGAATTCAATTACTGACAGCATATAAGGATGTTCTCTGAGCTTCTTGGAACAAGAACGAAGAGGCAGGAGCAGGAGCAGGAGCGCAGACAACCCACATGTTTACTCAGAGGGCTCCTTCCCAAGTTTGCTGAATCATGAACATCACTGACGCAGGGAATTCTCTCCCTGCTGCTTGTTTCAATCTGTGCTGTGTTAGGGTACAGAGCACTGGCTTACAATGTGTTTTGATTTGGCTAGGGGTGAAAGGTTCTCAGTTTTAAATATTTTTTTTTCCCCTATTAACTCATACAGTGTCACAGAGTCCACTCTATCCTCAAAATTTCATTCCTGGATCCAGTGTCTGAGGTTTCTCTGAAGTTTCCTCAGGGGCCCTTCAGTTCACAAGAACACTGTTACCAAGAGATTAAATGAATTAAAAATTGATGACTGTTCTGTACTGAATGTCTTGCAGTCAAGGATATTTAAACAGATAGCAGGGAGGGTGGAAGGAAGATTGTTTGCCAGAGTATTTTTTCCTGTTTTTAAATAATAGTTTTATGGGGACAGGGAGGAAGATAAGGAAGTGTGGAGCAGGGGGAATGTCTGCTGGTTCTGGGTAAGGAAATTCCTCTTATAAATGCAATATTGAGAAAAAATAGACTGCTCTAAGAGAGGCACTTTGCCTAAAAGACACAGAATACACTCAGAGAGAAATCAGAGAATTTTGCAAATTAAAGTCATTTGAACCCAAAGCCTGTCTTGGCAGGGCTGGGCACTTCGAAAAAGGGTACTCTCCTGTGAATTCCTTACAGCTTCTGCGGGGATGGAGTGGAAGACAGCCAAGTGCCATGATAGTGGCTCACTGTGGCTACTTCCTAGAAGGACAGAGTGCAAGGCAGAGTGAACAGAAGAGCCATTTACCTCAATCTGCTCAGCTTTAGAGTTAGCCAAGATTCAGTGCTGCTGTAGTCCCTTGTTGGCCACGGGCTCTTGCCTGTGCTATCTGATGGGGTTTTTTATGCCATCTGCTGTGATGTTCCTGAGATGGGAGTGTGGTACCATGTTCACAGTTCAGCTCTTTAAACCAAGACCAAAGTTTTAAAAAAGTGCTGGTGACTACGGTTCATTTGTCTTCTGACTCCCAGCTGGAGACCATTTTAAAAGAGGTATTCTTTACAGTGTCTGCTCTGAACCCGTTGGGCACCTTTAAAGGTATCATGATCTGAGTACTCCAAAGCATCTCTCTTTTCTAAGAATGATGGTTGAACTCCATCTGCACCCCTAACTTCACCTCAGGACCTCAGAAGATGCTGTACTGCACAGAAAGTAAAATGTTCATAGATGAGAACAGTTTAATCCTGATGGATTAGATCTGCTAGCAGACAGGGGTGTAAACTGGTTTATGTGCACTGTCTTTCTGCTTTTATTCCACATGAAACACCAGTAATTTTTGGCATCATTCCAGTCTGGATTTGTGACTGAGTGGCCTTCTTCCCCATCCTTACCTGCATAAAAATAATGGCCCTGTGTCAGTGTCAGTAGTAACAGAGAGCCAGTTGAGCAGAAGAGGATATTTTCAAGATACATCAATTATGAATATGAGATTGGAGTTCAATCCAGAAATACAGATAGGTCGAACAAACTCCATAGTCCACTGGGTAAAGTCCACAAATCTGCTGAGCAAACTGATGCAGGGTCTCCATGCCTGGAGAGGGAGGGAGAGAACAGGAAATAGTGAAGGAGAGCACTGAAGAGCACCTTGTTTACCATATTTGGGAAAAAAGTTCAAACAAATGACAAAACTTGTGGCATCCAGTCTCGATCAAGAGATGAATGAATGCCTCAATAGGTCCTCAGAATAAAACAGCATTAGATCCTTCCTTGTATGACCCAATATATTGGCTAATTCATTAAAATGAATAGTCTCAGTGACCACCCAAGTTGTACTTTTCTTGTTTCTTTAGAAACTATTAATTGCCCCAGATTTTAAAAACCATTTAATACTGAAAAGTAGCTATTACACATTGATGTGAGCTAATATTTTTATGAACCGTCTTAGTTGTATTAAAACCCCAGTCATTCAGATTTCAAAATGTAATTGACTCAGTTAAAATACAACAGTTGTGAATTTATTTTTTCATTCTAGTTTTGTCCCCTGAAACAAACCTGTTTTCTTTGGAGATAAATGAAGAAGGAAAGCCTCAAATACATGGATATGATTGTCTTCATTAAAAGCTGGCTGAAAAGACTTTATCCTGTGGGGTCTTCTCTCTGTCTCTCTGAGGTAAGTTCCCATGTATTTTTAATGGGAAACTTATTGCCAATCAAACCTGTATTCTTGATAGATGAAAGTGGATGTTCTGTACTGTTTCATCGTGCTGGGTCTCCTGGGAAGAGCAGCTCATTACGGCGTCAACTGTCCCTGCCCTTTGCAAAAAGCCCCACCAAGGTCATATCAAGTGGTGATGGATAAAGGCAAGCTTTAACCCTTGACCTTGACTTTCCTGGTGCTGAGTGTTAATGAATCTACATTTAGGGGTAGATGTTTTCTCCCAGCTGCTTTGTTTTTGGGAAAGGGGGTGACATGCTGTCGCACAACAGGTTGCATTTCCTATGGTGAGGCTGTGTGTCCCCCACACAGAGCCCCACACCCATCACGGAAGGCTGGCTGTGAACAGGGCTTACATGTGTGGTGGGGCTCAAGCCACATGATAGTCTGAGATGTCTGAATACATGGGCTCTGTCATTTTCACAAGGGAGCACTTTGGTACCATGGAAAACAGCAAGGTTTCTGTTCTTTCTGCTGGAGCATAGGTGGGGCTGAAATGTTTACCCATGTCATTGTCTTCAGAGTGGTGTTTGAGGTGACCCTCAAGCAGCTAAAACCTTTTAAAAAGAGGTCCCCTCCTTATCACACCCATGGGAAACCAGCACTGATGAATAGCAAGGGGAAACAATTCCTTTGAAATATTTTAAAACTGCAGGAATATCAAGAGCACTCTTCAGCTCTCTTTTTCAGCAGCCTCTTGCCAGGTGACCAGAAAGCTTTTCCCAAAGTTGTTCGGTGCCATAGCTTTATGTGAAGGAGCAACTCAAATGAAGGAGAGGCCTCTGTCCTCTTGTCTCTGTTCCTCTGCTTAATTTTCTCCAAATGCTCAGTCTTTCCTTTTTTTTTTTCCCATTCTCATCCCATTCTCCTCAGCTCTCCTCAGTGAACAGCAGCAGGCTCACTCCATCTCTGCATCATTTTTTGTAGGAGCTGTAATGCTGCTGCCTCTCACGTTTCCCAGTGGGGAAAAGGGCCATTTGGGGCACACCTCAACACAGATTAGAGAATGAGCAAATTAATGTCCTGGGCTGATGCAGTGTGCTTCCAAACACTTGGTTTCTATTCTGATGAGAAATATTACCCTAAAACTTCCAGTGCATGAAAGCTGCCTGTGATAAGTGAGGTGGAAAAATTAGGTCCTGCATAGAGCTACTCTCAATGGCTCTGGGAATTTAAGTGCTGTCATCTTCCAGGGAAGTTAAATTGCTCTTTTCCCTGTGTCCAATTAGCCCTGTAATCAACTTAGCAGAATATGGAGCAGGAGTGTGCTGAGATGGGGTATAACCATTTTGTCAGAGGATATATTCAGATTGATCCTAAATCGGGGCAAGGACCCACAAGGGGATCTTGGAACAAAGGGCAGAGATTATACTGAGCTACTTGGAGCCTTTACAAAAGTGGAGGAGAGGGAGGGGGGGAGTGCTTTCTGCACACTGGAGAAGAAATACCAGAAACATCAGAACTACCAAGCCCAGAAGTTAATGGGTTTTATTAATTAAATGTAAAAATTCAAGATTGCTGAAAAAAATAAGCAGCCCACAATAGCAATGAGCGGTCAGCTTTAGAAGTACCAGGGTTAGCAGGTAGTTACAATTTGCTCTAGTATTATTCCTTCTTGGCTTTTCTCGGCAGCAAGGCTTTGTCCCGTGGCTCTGCAATTTGTAAAAACTGCTTTTCTATTGCCAGAAATTCATTTAGCTGTATCTTTTTGGGTTTCTGATTCTACACAGGATAAATAGCTGGAATGGAACCTTTATCCCTTCTAAGCCTCACAGTTTGTGCAAACATGTTAGAGGAAGAATTCACAGCACTGCAGTTAATCAGCCAGCATTTTCAAAAAGTGAGCTCTTTTGTCACAGCTTCTTTGGAGTGGGCACCAGACCAACACTTGCTTATGTGATTGGCCAAAGTGACAGCTGATGTCAGAACAGTTTAATGTGGCACAACCCTTCTGCATCCAGGACAGGCTCTCTGAGACATCACTGCTCTGTCTTTGCATACATATTTCTGACAAATGCCCATTTGCTCCTTGGATGAGCTCTCTCAAGCCCTGACATATAGTGCAGAGGTCAAAACAAAGGCCACACGAGTACGTCAGCAATCCATAAACCAGAGAACAAGAAAGGCCAAGAAGGAAATATAAAGACCTTCCTCCAAGGAGGCAACTGAAACTTCAGTATGTTTTTCTCAGCTTTCAGAGTAATCTGTAAATCAAGGAGGCAGAAAACAAGATGGAGTGGGAATAAATAGATCAAAAATTGCCTTCAGGTAGCAGATAGTATAAAAGTATGCCATTAGATACACACCAAAAGTGTGTGCTGCCATTCAGTGGGATCTTAATAGGCTGGAGAGCTGAGTGGAGAGAAACCTAATAAGGTTCAACAAGGGCAAGTGTAGGATCCTGTACCTGTGGAGGAATAACCCCAAGTACCTGTAGAGGCTGGGGGCTGACCTGCTGGAGAGTAGCTCTGCTGAGAAGGACCTCGGAGTCTTGATGATAAGTTGACCATGAGCTGGCAGTGTGCCCTCACAGCCAGGAGGGCCAGTGGGACCCTGGGGTGCATCAGGAGGAATGTGGCCAGCAGGTCAAGGGAGGTGACCCTGCCTCTCTACTCATCCCTGGTGAGGCCCCATCTGGAGTGCTGTGTCCAGCTCTGGACTCCCCAGCACAAGAAAACTACTCAGTACAAGGAGCTACTGGAAAGGGTCCAGTGGAGGCCATACAAATGATATGGGGATCTGGAACATCTCTCTGAGGAGAGCCTGAGGAAGTTGGGCCTGTTTAGTCTGGAGAAGAGAAGACTGAGAGGGGCACTCATCAATTCTTACAAACAACTTAAAGCTGGTGTCAGGAGGAGGGTGCCAGACTCTTTTCAGCGGTGCCCAATGACAGGATGAGGAGCAGTGGCCATAAATTAAAACACAAGAAGTACCATCTCAACATGAGGAAGAACTTTTTTTACATTGAGGGCAGCAGAACCCTGGAACAGGCTGCCCAGGGAGGTCTTGGATCTCCCTCTCTGGAGATATTCCAAATCTACTTTTATGTGTTCCAGTATAGCCAGCTCTAGGTGACCCTACCTTGGCACAGATATTGAACTGGATAATCTCCAGAGATTCCTTCCAACCCTAATGATTCTGTGATTCTGTGATCAGGTCTTGAGTCATGGTTGACTGAGTTGGGCATACAAGTGATGGTTGTGTAGTGTTGCCAGTAAAGGCTCATCCAACTCAAGTATGAAGTCTTAGGCTTTTGACCAATCAGTAATCTCCTATTTTGTATTCTGCTTCTTCATGATCTCTTCCCTTAAGCTCAGGTTGATTTTCAAGAAAGAGATGTTTTATTCATGCCCTTCCACATCTGTCTCATGTTTCCCCTTCTCCTCATTTATGCTTCTGTTGTGGGTGCTCAAATTTTGGGGCAATTGGTCCTATGGCTGTGCTGGCCTGCTACTGTGTAGTACATTAAGCTTTGGGGTCAGGGCATCCCCAGTCTCTCTTCTGCTGTCACAGAAAATGAAAAGCTTGTGCCCCTATAACTGCATATTGAAGTGATATAATTTTAGTAGTCAGCAGTGGTTCAGAGTTTCATGTCCAAAGCATGGACTTGATGGATTTATCTATATTCAGGAACTTCCTGTCATCCCCAGTTTCATCCTGTTTGATACAGATCTCCTGCTGAGTGACAAGTGGTGTGAGCTTACTGCAGCAACAGAAGGTGTGGGGAGTAGTTATTTTTAATGCCCTAGGGGCACCCTTTGTCCAGATTACTCCTTTGTGCTCACTCCATATCACTGTTCTTTAAGGTTCAAAAGTTGCCATGTGTCCTCAGCATGGCTGCAGGAGGGGAGAGATGAATGAGTTTGTTTCTCTCCCTGAGCTGTACTGAAGCCAAACAAACTTTGCACATTTTTGCAGACAGCATTTAGTATTTTCCTCCTGGTAGTTTGCTAAGCAAAATCTTTACAGAAAAAGGCATGGTGATAGAAAGAGGCCAGAGCAGGATCTGTCTCTGTCTCCCAGGTCAGGGAAAGGTCAACGCACATTAAATGAATATTGTTGGTGCTTCTGTTACAACAAGGCCCAAGCAGCTCAAAGCCAGGCTGCATCATCTGTGGCTGAAAATAATTTGCAGTGCCGCTTCCTGAGCAGCAGATTGGCTTCCCATTACACAGGCTAATGAGAAAGTGTCACAAGTGGTCTCAGTAATAATCTGCAGCAGACACCCTCCCGCCCCTTCTCAGCACACTTGCAGAGATTTTGATAAGAGAAAGAAAAGAAAAGAAAAGAAAAGAAAAGAAAAGAAAAGAAAAGAAAAGAAAAGAAAAGAAAAGAAAAGAAAAGAAAAGAAAAGAAAAGAAAAGAAAAGAAAAGAAAAGAAAAGAAAAGAAAAGGAGGAGAGAGAAAGAAAGAAGGAAAGAAAGAACCAACCAACCAAACAAACATATTCGCACAGTGTGTTCTTTTGTATGCTCAGCCTGAATCTCCAATTCAAAGCACTGGGATCAAGAGAACTAGAATGAGAGGTTTGTGTGCTTACATCACCACCCAACTGCTGTTCCACTGAAGCCCTCAGCAAAGCAGGGATGTTGACTCCTAAGGGCAGTGTATGGCATATCCCTGGCATCACCTAATTGCACAGTGGTGTTTTAGGATTTCCCAGGTAAAGGTATCTATTTTTGAGTCTTTTTGCAACACCTCCCCTCCACATCTCCCTGGACAGTCTTGTACCTAGCTGCCAACAATAGAGCAAATGGCCTCTGATCCCTGCAGTGTCATGCCAGTTTGGAGCAAAAGCTCAGAATCTGGGTCAGGGCAGAAATGAAAAGATGCTGACCATGAATCAGTGCTCACCACTGAGCCTCCCAGTAAAGATACAGTGAGGGGAGGCACCTGACCTTCTGAATGCAACAGCATGGGGATTCTTGCTGTGCTGGTGTGTTAATAACAGTACT